CCAATCAACCGTCCCCAGAGCCTGAAGAACCTGAGAATCCCGAGCCTGAACAACGTGAGATTTATTTACTTAACAGAAAGATAAATTTTTTTGACTTTTATCTTTTACTTTTTAATTTTTCTCAAGTCCAATTTGTGATTTTTTACTAAATTAATTACACAGGTGAAGAAGACTCAGATGATGAAGAAGACTCAAATGAAGAGAATGAGTCGGATCCCGAAGATCTCACACAGACCCTTACACCCTCGTCTTCTTCACGGCCAAAGGTTCGGAAGGGGTTCCGAGTGCGCAAACCTAGGGATCCCTTTACTCCTTCGTAGTTAGTTTGTGTTAGTTTATGTTTGAATGAAAAACGGATTGTTTTGTATGTATAAACTTTATTTTGACCTTTTTGGTATGTAGTGTTTTTTTAATAAATTATTGCGGTTCATCTTTTTTTATATTATGTTGGATTATTATTTGGTGAATTGATTGGTATTAGTTGGTTGAGCAGGTTTATTTGGTTGTGATTGGTTGAACAGGTTTATTTCGTATGAGATATTGAACAAGTTCCGGTTTATTTCGTTTAAAAAATGAATGCCAATTTTTTTTCTACAGATTAAAACGTATTTACAGAATACGTTTTATTTATTTTATTACAAAAACGTATTCCTGGAATACGGTTTATATTCAAATTGAATTAGGGCAAAATTGAATTTAGGGGAAAATTGATTTCTTCATCGAAAACGTATTATCCAAATACGTTTTATAATTGAAAATATTTTTTCCCGAAAAAATTTTATTTTTAAAAATTATAAAATTATTTTTATTTTACAAACGCATTTACAGAATGCGTTTTATAATTAAAAAATTTATTTAATTTTTTTTTTTATTATAAAACGTATTCCTATTATACGGGTTACTTTAAAACGTATTTCGGTTATGCGTTTTCACTTAATTTAATTATGTTCATTAAGTTTTTTAATCATTCTTTCAGAATACGTATTATGGAAATACGTTTTTACCCTAAAAAACGTATTATCGTAATACGTTTTACAATTAAAAGCAATTAAAAACGTATTCCCAAATACGTGTGTTTGATTTTGTTCCACTTTTTTTTTTTTTTTTTTATTGTCCACTTGTTTTTTTTTTTATTTTTAAAGAAATAAAAAAATCCAATTTGGTAGGTGGGGAATAAATTAATTTATTTTATCGAAAAAAAATAATAAACTTATTTAAAAACATTATTATACACATATAAATATATAAATTTGTTTAAGTTATTTTAGGCGGATAAAAACTCGTAATAATATTTATTTATACAAATAAATGTCATCGCTCTGATTAAATTATTTCCTACAATACAACATTCAAAATGAGAGTAAGTATAATTATAAAAAATAGACATCCTCCCTATATATAATTCCCGAATGCGCTGAGCCTACGTGGCTGTTTCTGGTGCTTTGGAATCCTACTTGGCGAAGAATCATGCTTCGTAATTAGGTTTGGACAAATAATATTGATATATTAATAATTAATAATTTAGGTTTGGACATTCCATAAATATTATTTAGCTAACTTAGGTACTTTAATATCACTTTTACTAATATAACCCTATAATTCTTTGTAATTTTATATAATGAGACACTAAGTGACTAATATATTCCTGACTTTTGATTTTTTTCCTTCAATTAGTTATTGAATTGTAAATTTATTTTAAAAGTTGATAACTTTTGTATTTCATATCGGTTTTACATATATGATATATCAAATTAATCATCTTTTGATGATCTTCGATTTGATATCCATATTGTATATATGAAATAAATAAATTATATTTATCTATATAATAATAAAAAATAATAATATTTATTAAAAATCATTAGAAAAATAAAATTATTTATCAATTAATATATTTATATTTAATGTAATTATATGTTGTAAGTTAAAAAAATTATTATAATGTAACACATGTAAGTCGCACAAATAAAAAAGTGTCATACTAAATATATAATAATATATATATTTTTATAAAAGGTATTGAAATTTTTAATTAATTTTTCTCATTAATTTTATATTTTAAGAAAAAATTAGCAAGCACCCGTGTAATACACGGGCGTTGTACTAGTGTTATAAATTATAAATAAAATCTAATAGAAGAACTATCCATAAAACTAAATATGGTTGGATGGATGAACTAACCTGAATTGATGGTCTCATATAAATCGGATTTTATGTTTTAAATAGTTATTAAGATAAAGTCTTGTCGTCACTAATGCTACAATTTATGGAAAAATAAAAAATAAAAAATAAAGAAATTACCTAAATGGCATTTTCATAAGGTCTTGGGGCAGTACAGTCATGTCACGTAAAATAGGAGCATTGAAAATCAAAAGCTAGCATATGACAATTAATGCCCCCAATAATATTGACTATGAGTGTAATCTATGGATTAAATTACAGCCACTATGACATTTTAATTTGTGACATTATGTTTTGTTAATTTAATTTAATATATAGGGAGAGATATTGAATATTTATTTTTAGAGGAAACACACGTCTAAGGAAAAAGAGAAGCTGGTCGGGATGTGGATATATCAGCTAGAGGATAAAACATACAAGATGGATAATAGGGTGGAGCCACAAGAGGAAATGGTCTTGCGGGCGATGATCTTGAAGCAACTTTGAACGAGTAGTTTTCTCTGCGACTTATTACCCTCCTCAGCAGGAAGGCCATGTTTTCCGAAAACAAAATGAAAGAAGAAGATAAAAATAAAAAAACCATATTCAATTTCTTTGTTTTCGAGATTTGAGATCTGTTTTTATTGTTATCTTCGTCTTTCATTTTGTTTTTTCAAGAAACATGGCCTTCCTGAATGGATATTGTAGTTGATTGTAGACATTAATGTAGTTATTTATTACATATTATACTTGGTAGAGATGTAATTATTTGTGTATGAATTATATTTTTTTTCAATATTTTCATTATATTGTAGGATAGATGAAAATTTCCCAAAATCTAACTCAACTTAATTTTATTTCATCTCAAAATCTAACTCAACTTTAATTCAATCCCACTATTTTTAATATTATTCATATAATTAAATAATACAAACCAATCATTCTTACACATCAAATCAACTTTAATTCACTATTCATCCACTCACATAATTTTAACTATCAATCATTTTCAATCATTTATCTCTTACTTTTACATCAAATCAACTTTAATCATTTAATTTAAATATTATATTAATACATTCTTAAAATTCCACTAACAATTAACTATACTATCTTTTTTAAAATTAACTATGGTTAACTAAAATAATTCATTTGAACAAATTTTTTCATAAACAATCAATCCCTGAATAGTTTAGTTTAGAAACCCAATACTGAAACCATGGGCCAGAACAATCATCTGTCCCTATACGTCTGAAACTGCGGCCCAATAACAATTAATGCCCCAAAATCGCGTTAATAACGATATACATACATAAAGGTTAAACCTCAGCTAGCCTAGCCCTCTTTTCACAGTCTCAACACTCAATTCTAGGGTTTCTGATTTTTCAAATCAAACCGAATCAGAACACCAGATTTCATAATTTGCGTGGGCAATGGGCGGAAAGTGCCCTCACAGGAGCGTGAAGAAGCGCCGATACTCGCACAAAACTGCTAGGCGCACCAAATTCCTTGTCAAGGATATCCTTTTTATTGCGTTTATGTGGATTTTTAATCAGTGCTTTTGTTTCGTTGTAATTGTTCGTAATCATGCTTGTTTTTTCTTGACTTGTGATTGTTTACGCGACGATGCTGTTTACGATGAGCTTCAGAAAGTGGAGGGGAAGAGTAAATCCATGCCCGTAGATGAAGACCTTCCTGGGATGGGCCAGTATTATTGTTTGCACTGCGAGTAATTTGCCAATTCATGCATTTATCGATCAATTCTTTTTATTTTTTTTAGGGAATTTTCGTGTTCGTTTTTGCTTTTTAGCTCACATGGGGTTTTTTCGACGTGTATTTCAGTCGATATTTTGCTAATGTGACGGTGAGGGATGAACACTTCAAGACCAAACGGCATAAGAAGCGGTAATTTTACTCTTATGTTACTACGTCTTTTTCAATTTTATGCCTCTAGTGTTTGTTCCTATGTTGTGTGAGTTAACCTAACCGTGGGCCGGGTGAACGAGTCATAGGGGTGAAGAAAATGGATACTTATATCAAAACGTTGTAGTTCTCTGTATTGTTTTTCATAGTGTGACATTTTCTGTTAAAAGTATGCATATTTGTGGGAAGAATATGCCGGCCTAACGAAAAACCTCTATTGTTCTTGTAATTGTAACTTGTCATTATTTTTATTTTTCTGTTTGTTTGTTGAAACTTGAAACTTTTAGTAGTTTGGGAGAAATAGAGTTATAGTTTTAAGGATGCCGAGCTTTAATTTATTCTAGATCATGGTTTATCAAGGCAAAAACATATTGGAGTATTAAAGTAATAAATCCGTACCAAGATTGAGTTTTTCATGAACTTCAGTTGCTGGTAAATTTGGGGATCGGTTTTTGAGTAGCTGAAATTGTAAAGTGAAAAGAAATAAAGGGGACCCTAACGTATGCTTTGTTCACAAGAATTAAGTGGAAATATGGGTTTCATTTATATGAAGTAATTCAGTTCATATCAATTTTATACAAACTATTTATAATACACCCGTATATTTCTTAGCTAAGTCTCTGACTTCTCGATCACTTTATGAGTTACCAATAACTCTGAAATACCTTGGACATAGGAATACATTGTACTAGAACAGTTTAGATCAAGAGTTTTCTTTTCGTTAAAGAATGAAAAATTGAGGGTCAAATTTTTTATCCAGAACTTTGAGCAGCATTCTACTTTATATTATTCAAGTTTCTGAAGGACATTACTTAATCCACTCATGATGTTTAAATTTGTTGAGAAATTCTAATTTCCAATCCGTCATTGATGATGCATGTGTTAACCTATCCGACTAAAGTTTTATAATAATCTCACATTTTCATGCAGTTTGAAGCTAATGATGGGACCTGCCCCACACACCCAGTTGGATGCCGAGCTAGCTGCCGGGATGGGTATGCCTGACAATGGTCCAAAGTTAATGTCTATGTAAAGTTAGGTCTTACGGTCGAACGTGATTTTGACTTACGGGCAGATATCGATATCTTCAAGAGATGCCTACAGGGGTTTTTATGAGTTGATTTTCCATGATAAGGTTTTGTAGCGGCCAAGACAATCCTTTACTTATCTCATATGATAAGGTTTGCTAGCTGTAGCTCTATTTCGTTCAGTTGTATCTGTTACATTCTAAAGATATTGTTTCTGTTACATTCTGTGATGACCGATGAGAGACATTGATTTGGTTGTTTCACAATGAAAAAGCACAAAAGTTTGTGGTTTCTATTGCCAAAATAAGTATGAAAGTAAATGAAATGGGACTATGAGGCTGGGCTTATATGGATTTCGGTTTGTTTTGGAACGTGTATTGGCAACCGTTTCTTGGTTACGAGCTGTAATGGCCCGGTTAGCTCAATTGTGATTTTATTCGGTGGCGCGTCGGATTTGGTTGGACCATATGATAGATTCGTATTCTGTAGTCAGTATTGGTTTCTCTTTAGGCTGTCATTTTATAAGATGATGACTTTGGGAAAATTAGTTAATGAAATTCTGTAAAAGTGTACTAAAAAAAGTGTTTTTTCCGTGCCGGGTTGAAATCCGAGCTGGGCCCGGAACCGTGGTCAACGGGTTTGACCGGGCTGGGTTGGCAGGTCGGTTGACCCGTGGCCACGTCTACTTGAGTAAAGAGGGAACAACGTGGGCCCCATCGCCATCCATGCACAGACACAAAATGCTAAAAGACATTATTAACATCATCATACAGAGTCCATCGTGCACTTCTGCTAAAACTAAAAGACACTATTTAATCATCATGCAGAGTTCATCGTGCTTCTGTCATCTTCCCCAATTTCGATAATTCGATACCTCTGTTTTTTTTTTTCTCTTTTTTCTTTTTTCTTTTCCAGCACACACACACTCGCCCAACACTCTCATGAGTTACTAACACCTTTCCATAATGAGGTCTTATAATCATGTCCCTTTGTCTTGTTTCACTCATCGAAACTTTCCTTTCACAAATTTTGCCTCCACCACGTGAAAGTTGGCCATATAATTGATGTTCCACTCCCACTTTCTCTTTTATGTTCTTCTCAATCGTATTGGAGCTGTAAACGAGCCGAGATCGAGCTCAAGCTTTAACGAGCCGAGCTAGACTCGTTTAATTTAACAGCACTACACATTATTAAACTAAGATGCCAAAAATTCATCCAACAGTAAAAAAAGGCACTAACCCTCACTCAAGACACAATCCTATTCACAAAGGGTCCTCTAATCTAAGTAGAATTTGTTCGAATTCACGTGTGGAATTTGAAATTCAGAACTTCTATTGACAACGCTAAAGCGAAGAAATTCTTGAGGTATGTAACAACAATCAATCACATAATAATCCCAAATAACTACTTCACTATACCAAAAATATAAACAAAATACTCAAAAAATACATTACTTCCAATCTCCAAAACATCGGTCTCATCAAATCACGATCTGAAACTGGACGACGAACTCGAACCCGGCCCGTTAACCGCATCGCCACCGTGCCCGTTCGTGAGTCTCTGCAGATGTATCATGCGAGCGTATATCCCGTCAGGGTAGTTCTTCATCAGGTGCGCGTGGGACCCTTGCTCAACCACCTTCCCCTCGTCCAGCACCGCAATCACGTGCGCGTTCCTTATTGTCGACAGCCTGTGGGCCACCACAATTGTCGTCCGACCCACGCACGCTTTTTCGAGCGCCTCCTGCACGCACCTCTCCGACTCCGCGTCCAACGCGCTCGTCGCCTCGTCAAGCACCATAATCTCCGCCTTCCTCAAAAAGGCTCGGGCGAGCGCTATCCTTTGCTTCTGCCCACCCGACAGCTGTACCCCACGCTCCCCCACGTGCGTTTTGTACCCGTCGGGCAATGACGACACGAACTTGTGCGCATTCGCCAGCGTGGCGGCCTCGACGATCTCGGCCTCCATGGCTGACTCCCGACCGTAGGCTATGTTCTCGTAGATCGTGGTCGAAAAGAGGCACGGTTCTTGCGGGACCACCGCCACGTGGCGCCTAAGCGACCGGAGGTTGTACTTTCGGACGTCCTTCCCATCGATCGTCACCCGTCCAGACGACGGCTCGTAGAATCTCTGCACGAGGGCGACCACGGAGCTCTTGCCGCACCCGCTCGGGCCGACGAGGGCTAGGGTCCGCCCGGCTCGGGCCCGAATGGTGAGGTCGCGGAGAACGGGAGAATCGGGCCGGGACGGGTACGCGAAGTCAACGTGCTTGAGCTCGACCTCGCCGCGGAGGCGGTCGGGGGCGGGGGCGGCGGACGGGTCGTCGGGCTCGATCTCAGTGGCCCGGTCCAGAAGGGCGAAAACGGAACGCATGGCTCGACCGCCTTTGATGAAGTCGGGGGCAAGGGTGAGTGTCTCGGCTGCCCCGTTTGCGGAGACCATTAGGACCATAAAGACGCGGATTGCGCGGGAAAAGTCGGAGAGTCCGTGGCGGACGAGCCACGAGGCATACCAGAGGCCGAGTGCGTAGGAGGCGTAGAGGGCAAATTGGGCGAGGCCGTAGCCGCTCCCCGCTATTTGGCCTTTCCAGAAGGCGCGGTGAAGAGGTGACCGAAGGCTGGAGGTGAAGAGTGCGGCTATCTTGGGCTCCGAGTTGAAGGCGGCAACCGTGCGAAGGTTGGAGACGGCCTCGCCGGCCAGTTGGGTAGCTTTAGCGTGCGCGGCTTCCAAGTCGCCGGAGAATCCATTCATGAACATTTTCTGATCATGTATATTTTTAGTTGAGTATATAATAATTAGGTTTGAGTGTTTCTGCTACAATAAACACGACTATACGTAAAAACCCGAAAATTACCTGCAAAACGGTGGCGGCAACCACGACAGGGAACACGCCGATGAGCACGAGGGCTAGTCGCCACTGGAGAACGAACCCGGCCGTGCAAGCCACGAGCATCAGTGCCGAGTTCTGCATGATGACGGAGATCCGGTCACCGATGGCTGAGCGAACATTGTTAGCGTCGAGCGCCAGCCTGGCAGCCACCCTCGAGCTCTCGTTCTCCTCCATGTCGAACCACGCCATCTCGTTTCTCAGCACTGCCTCCAGCATCTTCTCCCGGACTCGCCTAGTCAGATTTTCACCGACCGTATCCCAGAAATAGTGTTGCAGCGTGTTGAAAATGAGCGCGGCTGACGAAACACCTATCAATAGATAGCAATATTTCGCGATTTGTTCGATCATGTATGCGTGGTTTGGATTGTAGTATACGCTGAGGACAGCGCTCAGGACGTAGGCAAAGAACGCGCTGAGGGAACCGCAGACGACGGACCCCACCGAGCCGAGAAGGGCGTGGGCCCACTCGGGAGAGTTCATCTTGACAAGTCGCCAGAAAGAGCTCGCCTGCTCCTTGAACGCGAGCCTCTCGTGTCGGTAGCTCGGGTAGCCGCCTTCCAACGAGAGGCTGAAGTCGGACGTCGAGAAGTCGGAGAGCCTCCTTGAGTAAGGCGAACGGCCATAAGACGAGTTCCGGGTGATGATTGGCGAGCTCACCGAGTTTCTTGCGCTCGACGGCCTGCGTGCAAAGTTTTCGATAAGTTTCTCATTATCCATATATAAAATTTATCTCAAATACATATATATATACACCTTGCACTGCTTTTTCGAGCATTGTTGACAGCTGCCTCGTGAGCGGCCTCCTGCATTCGGATGAGCTTTGCGTAGAGACTGTTTTCGCCTCGAGCGATGAGGTCATCATGGGTCCCGATCTCGAAAACGCTGCCCTGCTGCAAGACGGCCACGAGATCAGCCTTTCGGATGGTGGAGAGACGGTGGGCGATTACGAGAGTTGTCCTACCGATCATGAACCGGTCGAGGGCCTCCTGAACGAGCTTTTCTGATTCGGAATCCAAAGCGCTCGTGGCCTCGTCCAATAGAAGGATGGCCGGGTTCTTGAGCATGGCTCGTGCAATGGCGATTCTCTGCTTCTGCCCGCCCGACAGCTGGAGACCCCTCTCGCCGACCTGTCATTTTTTTCGAGATCAACTGTTGTTTTTAATGAATTAATTAAAGTTTTGTAATTTACCTAAAATCCATGTTAAGAAAATTCAATGAGGTCCATAAATGTTAGCAGCAGGGTAGGCATGATTTCTTTTGTCTTGTGTTTTTCAACTTATGGTCCATCCCCCCCACATAGATTGAGAGTTTTCTTGTTTTTACATGTGAAAAAGGGAACTGAATAAGCACTTGGCACATGCATTGTTCACTCAAACCATGTTACCTTATTATTAAAAAATGCATCAAAAAAACATCACCTCATATTTGACTTCATATAAAAAAAAAAAATGTTGGGTTGTATGTTGACCAGTATTTACTTGTCCTAATGAATAGCCTGTGGCAGTGGAAGCATAAATCATAACCAGTACTGACTCCAAAAGAAAATGTGTTTGTATTGACCTGAGTGTCATAGCCATCTGAAAGCTTGACGATGAACGAATGCGCGTTAGCTACTCGGGCAGCCTCTTCGATTTCGACCAAACTAGCATCGGGCCTTCCCAAGAGTATGTTTTCTTTAATGGTGGTGGCGAATAATGCAGGCTCTTGGCTTACCAGCCCTATTTGCTGCCTCAACCATCTCAACTTTAATGCTTTTATGTCATGGCCATCTAACAGCACTTGCCCTGACATGTTATTTACAAAGACTATTTTCATAAATGAACTTGAAAATGAAAGCACTGGACTACACTACACAACCAAGAAAATTATCGAAAGGATCAATCTCACCTGAAGTGGGATCGTAAAATCTCTCGATGAGGGACACAACCGTACTTTTCCCCGAGCCGCTACTCCCGACTAGGGCTATCGTCTTCCCAGCGGGGACAGTAAGAGAGAAATCTTTCAGTATTTGAGTCTCGGGCCTTGAGGGATAGCAAAAGTCCACGTTCTTAAGCTCCAATTGCCCGGTTATAGAGTTCAACTCCAAACCCGACTCGTTATTTCTCTCGACACTCGGTTTGTGGTCGATGATTCGGAATATTTTGGCAGCCGCCACTCGTGCCTTTGCAAACGCTGCCATACTCGGAGCAGATTGCCCGAGCGCACTATCCATAAAAAAAGCAAGATTTGCATCGTTTTATGCCGAGATTATATCAATTAATGGTGATAAAATTCGTAATATACATATTTTACTTACAGTCCACCAATCATGACGGCAAACATTGTAGCTATTGCAAGGCCTCCGTTCGTGAAATGGTGCCGAACAAGATACCCACCGTACCATAGCAGGAGCGCATAACAGCAAAATACCGTAAAATATGTTGCCCCAAGCCCCAAACCTTTGGCAAATCCAATTTTGTACCCAATCTTCTGGGCAACTTTCAAGGCTGCAGAGTAGGACTGTAGTGCCCTCGACTCTCCCACGAATGCTAAAACTGTTCGAATCTGGGCTATTGTCTGTAATTCGATATTAAACTCAGATTCATCATTTCCAAATTATTTTCATAAGAAAAAGCTAAGATCATTTAGCTTACCTGTTCTGCAATATTTCCTGCTTGTGAAAGAGCTTCTTGGCTTTTGCCGGAAAGCTTCGCTAATGTGACCGTGTGAATGCCACCGATAACGGCTATCAATGGAACTACGGCAAGAGTTACCAAAGACAATTGCCAGACTGCACTAAAACCCACTACAAATCCAGAAACACATGTTGCTAGGTAGTGCAAGAAATTCCCCAGCTGAAGAAGATAAACAAGGCCTAATCAGAAATTAAAATCAAGAAAATCCCAAATTTGGGATTTTGATTATTCTGCTTCACCTTTTCACTAATTGCATCCTGGACCATAACAGCATCCGTGTTAATGGCGAAAACAACATCGGATGTTCGAACCTCCGTGTCGAAGTACTGAATGTCTTGGTTTAAAGCAGCTTCTAAATACTTAATCCTCATTTTCGTCGACTGTCGCTCTCCGGTCCACATCCAGCAAGATATCTCTGCAGCCAATCACAATAAATCCTTGCTTCAAA